GGAGGCATCATCAGGGTCTGGAGGCGTGGTTGGGTTCTGAAGGCATGATTGGGTTTTGGAGGCATCATCAGGGTCTGGAGGCATGGTTGGGTTTTGGAGGCATTACTGTGCTCTGGAGCACAATTGGGTTCTGGCAGTGTGGTTGGGTTTTGGAGGCATTGTTAGGTTTTGGCAGTGTGGTTGGGTTGGGAAGATGTAGAGTTCTCTAAGCATGGCTGGGTTCTGGAAGCACTGTTAGGGTCTGGAAGCAGGAGGCACCCAGTGAGCAGGTGACTTTTTTTCTCACATTGTCACAGACCCCAGAAATCGCTGCTGAAACCTCAGCGCAACAAGATCCCTGAGCTCTGCCTGCCAATGCCCTCTTCTGTCTGTACCTTTCATGTGAAAGTTGGGCTTCTTTTTTAAGTGAATTCTCCCAGTATCTCTCACTCTGCCAACACTGGTTGCATGCCCACTGCAGAGGCAAGCAGCAGCCCAGTGGCGAACCTGGGCTATGGCAAAATAGAGAGCAGCCCACATGAGGACCATTCAGCCATCCCTCACTAAATTCTGCATTTTCCAAGTGAACAGGCCATCTTATGCCATTCACAGGGGGACCTCTGGGCTCCCTGCAGCGTGAATGGGCTCTCCAGCCCCAGCTGATGGTGCTACTGCTGTGTTGCTCTCTCCAGTGGAGCCGGAATTCAAGTACGTGGGGAACATGCATGGGAACGAGGTGCTGGGCCGTGAACTGCTGCTGCAGCTCTCAGAGTTCCTATGTGAGGAGTACCGGCGGGGCAGTGAGCGGGTCATCCGACTGCTGCACGACACGCGCATCCACATCATGCCTTCCATGAACCCCGATGGGTACGAAGTGGCTGCCAACCAGGTACCAGGCAAGCGAGCGCTGCTTCCAGATGGTAGGGGCAGAAAAGCCCTACGAAATGGGGGGCTTCTGCAGGTCTGCTTTGCTGTGGCAGTGCTGCCCCACTCTATTCTCACCCCTACAATGCCCTTTGCCCCACAGGGCCCAGATGGCATTGGGTACTTGACGGGGAGAAACAATGCCAATGGGGTGGACTTGAACCGCAACTTCCCTGACCTCAACACGTTCATGTACTACAGTGGGGAAATCAGCGGGCCCAACCATCACATCCCACTGCCCGACAACTGGAAGAGCCAGGTATCGGCCTGCAGTGCTGCAAGGGGTGCAGCATCCTCCTATAGCACTGACATGCTCATCACAGCTCTTCCCTTCTGCTCTTCCCAGGTGGAGCCTGAGACATTAGCTGTGATTCAGTGGATTGGCAGCTACAACTTTGTGCTATCGGCCAACCTGCACGGCGGTGCAGTGGTGGCCAATTATCCCTATGATAAGTCTCAAGACCAGCGGTTCCGGAGCCACCGGCGCACGGCCAACACACCCACCCCTGATGATAAGTTGTTCCAGAAGGTGAGGACAGGATGCTGGTCCTAACAGCACTGGTTGTGCCTGTGTTTTTTCTCCATTGTTTGAATGTCCCACAGAACTGTGCCTTCAGTCTTCCATTAGGAAACACAGAAACCCAGCACAAGAATAGGCATTAGAACAGCTAATGAGAAAAATAAGTGTGAGCTGGAGCTCAGCCCTCCTGGGAAGCACAGGGCTCACCAGGACATGCTGGGAGCAGGGCTGCAGCCTGGGGAGGAGGCAAGCAATCCACACACAGCCTCCAAAGTCAGAAATGCAATGAAATAACAGGGCTGCTGGCAGAATGAGGTTGTGCCAGCATCTGAACTGTACCACTGCCTATAGAGTGTGCAGTAGGAGACTCAAACAGCAGTTGCTCTTCAAACTGTCTTATGCAAAGGAGAGGCTTTGGATCCACTGTCCGAATTTGAACCCTGCCTTCATATCTAAAAAGAAACAGCAATCTTTGAGAAGGACTTAAAGGATGCCAGAAACACAAGTTGCCCAAACTTTCCTAATACACATTCTCCTGGCCACACTCTTTCAGCTAGCCAAGACATACTCATATGCCCATGGCTGGATGCACCGCGGCTGGAACTGTGGGGACTACTTTGTTGATGGCATCACCAACGGGGCGTCCTGGTACTCGCTCAGCAAAGGTAGGGCAGGGCAGCACCTGACCCAGTGTGGTGCAGACTGGCAAGACATCCTGGGGCTGAAAAGGAGAGAGGGGCAATTCTGGTAGAAGGGCTGGGACATGGGGATGAACATTGCATTCCACTGGCCACTGGCTCTCCTCTTCCAGGCATGCAAGACTTCAATTACCTCTACACCAATTGCTTTGAGATCACCCTGGAGCTGAGCTGCAATAAATTCCCCCCCAAGGAGGACCTGGAGCGGCAGTGGATGGCCAACCGGGAGGCACTTGTTGCCTTCATTGAAGAGGTGAGGAGATGATCTGGGACCTGAACCCCTCTTCTGCAGTTCAGGTGGCAGGGGAGCAGAAGGCACTGAGAGCGCTGGGGTGGGGAAAGCCAGCATGTCCAGGGAAAGGGAGAAGTAGAGCCATTTCCAGAGCTCTGCCCTCCTCCAGCACCCAGAAGTGCCCTCCTGAGCATCAGAGGGGCACTGACCCAGCACTGTCTCCCTCCCTACAGATTCACCAGGGCATCAAAGGGATGGTTACAGACGAGAACAACAATGGCATTGCAGGAGCAGTGATTTCTGTCCAGGGAATCAGTCATGACGTCACCTCTGGTGGGTCTCCAGTCCTCACATGGTGCTACTGTGCTCTTCAATCTGCCCCACAGCTCCCAAGCTGCCCTCTGTGAACCTGCCCACTGTATCAGAAGTTTGGCTCTGTCATCCTTGCAGCTTTCCTCCAGGTCTCCCTCCACCTCCTTCCCACCAGGCTGAGCCCACCTCAGCTGAAATGACACAGGCTACTTGTAGTCATGACTCAGATCTGTAGTGCCCATGCAGTTCTCTAGATGGGTATATAATCAGATTCTCTCAGTAATCCATAACATGCTGCTCCCTGCTGTTGTCAGCCCCCATCCCCAAGCACCACAAAGTGCTCCCGGTGTTCCTTACATGGGACGAATCAAGCAGGGGAGCAGCCAATCTGATGGGAGATTAAAGCTGCTGGTAACCCAAATGCAGCCAAATTATATGTGATGGGAATTAAGGGTTGTGTTGTGCACAGGGAGTCAGACTGGAGCCGCGGATGCCCCTAAGCCTGCTCCTGTCTGACCAGCAATACTGAGATCTGCATCTCCCTGCCAAGAGCAGTGCAGCCAATGCTGCCATGCACTGTTATTTGGTGTTTATTGTGGGCTGACCTCTGCTGCGTGGCTCTAGGGAGACATCACCTGCAGGCTGCCAGCACAAATCTGGCCTCACATTGCCAGCAGATTGAGAAAGAAGGCTAAAACATGCTGGGAGTTTGGAGGACACACATCCTCAAGGATGGGCACTGAGCGAGTGCTGCTGGAATATCAATTTCTCCACATCCTGAGAGCTTTCTCTTCTCACCTTGTGTTTCAGGAGAGATGGGGGATTATTTCCGGCTGCTGCTGCCTGGCACTTATACCATCACAGCCTCAGCAGAGGGCTACCAGCCTCAAACGGTGACAGCTACCGTGGGCCCAGCTGCACCTTCACTGGTGAGTCAGACACAGGACTCCAGCAGCTCCCAGGGTGAAGGCAATGCCATGTGCCCCCGATTCCTCACCAAGCAGCCTTAGCTGCACCGGGCTGTTGTGCTGGCTCCCATGTCATCTGCCCAGTGGGGCTGCTGCTCCAACAGGACCCTCCTGAGAGCAGACTATGCAACCCGAAATAAGTTATAAAAACAGAGGATGGTGAGCCCTTGCCTTGGGAACAGAATGGGGCCTCAGACAGAGGCTCTGCTGAGCATGGGTGCAAGCCCCCCAGCTGCAACATCCCGGAATGTCTGGTGCTCTGTGCACGCATTGGTAAGGCTCTGCCTTAATTACACTGTAATGATCTCCCCTTTCTCCATCTCTTCATCCCACCCTGTCCAGCCTCTGAGGTCCTTCCAGTGCTCTTTTCTCAGCATTAGAAACCTTCTAATTTTCAGCCTAAATTTATTTATGGTCAGTTTATCCCTATTTGTTCTCATGCCAACGGTGTGCTTTAAATAGCTCCTCTTCTTCCCGGGTATTTATTTCTCTATGTATTTATAGAGAGCTGTCAAGCCCAGCCCTGGCCATTGTTTTGCTGGATTAAGCACCCTGCTCTTTGGTTCTCCTTTGTAATAGATTTTCCTTTCTCCACATTACCTGCTTTGTTCCCTGGTGGTCTGACTTCGCAGCCCACCTGTCCCCATTTACCTCCACCCCTTCCCTACCATGAAGGGATTTGTTTGCCTTGTTCCAGCCCTACCCCACAGCCATTTGTTTGATCCTGTTTTGATTGGATGGAAATTTTTCTCTTGGATTTTCTTTTTGCCTGGAGCTAACAGAAACAGTCATTGCTGAAAGATTGATTAAGCAGGACTCAGCTAATGAGATGCAGTTGAAAAGGTCTGTTTTGTCCTAAGCTGTTCTGTGTACTAAACACTCACAGAGATGCAAAGCAGTGCATTTTCTCTGCTCTCTGGTGAGAAAAGATGAAGAAGGAGCCCCACTCAACCACTTGCCTTTCACAGCACCAATTTCCCATTGTATCCCAACGCTGATTGAGCCCCCAGTTGAGCAATGCTTGTCTTGGCCAAGAGCTAGATTGGAAGACATTAGCAGGTGCGGGTCCTGCAGGGCCAGCACTGCTACATGGGTGGTGTTATCCTTTCTACAGGTGCATTTCCAGCTCAAACAAGATGTGGTGAAGAAGGCCCCAGAGCGGAAAGCTTCAGGCACACGCACGAACAACAAAACCCTTCAGAAGAAGGTAGTGCCCAGAGCTGTGCGCCGGGGGACCCAGAGATGAGGACGACAGATTTGTCTGAGAGCAGAGGGAGGGAAGCCCTTGTACAGGGCCTGGCTGAAGACTCCAGCCAGTGAACTTTCCATCAATCCATTAAACTAGCCCGAGTTACTAGGTTATTAAATAAGGAAATATTTAATCCCTGAGCAAGATATGAAGTAATTCTCAACAGAATGCATATGGGGAGTATGTCTGGAGATGCTCTCCTGCCCTCAGGCCATCCAGAAGAGCTCTGCTCCCTTTGCTCCTGACTCTGGTCACTGCAGCCCACATGAGGTGTTCAGACACTGGTGCATGGCAGGAAGAATGAGTCCAGGCAGCAAGTTCTGCCCTTGCAATCCAGGCACATGGAACCTGGCTTGTCCATGCTGTGAGCTTCACCCTCAGGTAAGGACAGTTGTCTATAGTTAGGAGAAGGATAGTTTTAAAGCAGTTATTTGTCCAGCTTCAAACACAGCGGGACAAATACTCATTCTGGGTGGCAGCACCACAAGGAGGAATGCAGCACCGCTGGGACGTGGTGATCCAAGGTCATCTGGTGAGTGATGTCACATCTGTTTCGCCGTGCAGATGGGACTTCCTGGTGGCTCATTGGGATTATTTATAGTCAGGCAAGATGAAACGGTATACGCCGACAAAGGCAGTGGATTATCCTGACTCCCTATGGCTTCAGATCCAAACCAGATGGCTCTCTGAAGGGTTTGCTTCAGCCAACACAAGCTATTAGTCTGAGTAAGGAGCAGCTAGGTGAGAGCTAATGAGCAATGGAAGGTGTGCAGGACAGGTGGTTTGTCATTCCTTTGAGACAAACTGAATTTTGGGTCCATCAATGCGGAGAAAAGTGGATGCACACCAACCTGCAGTGCACTGTGCAGGTACAGTGCATGTGGACTGCAGCTCAGTTAGAGAAGACGTGGTCCAGCTCCTCACTGTCACATCATCTCCTGTCTCTGCTGCTGGTGGCATTTTCAGCCCTAGCAGTACACACACTCTTGTACCCCTGCCTGCTAACAGAGGCTCTCTGAGCCTTTCTTGGAAAGGCACGGCAAACCATCCCTGAGAGGGTATCTGTTCATGCTATTACAGAGAAGTGCCAGAATCAGTAGCACATGTTGCCATGGCTGTGAGCGGTTTCAGTCTGCGCAGGTCACTGTGGGCCAGGGATGGTGGCCAATTCCACATTCATAAAATCTAGAGAATTCAAATTCTCTAAATTTTTCACACCATCAGCAACCCAGCACAGTCACAGAAGTTGCTGGCTGCAGGGTGCTCCCATGTTGCCCTCTGGTGGTCCTAGAAAATGTAAGACCAACCCAGTTCCCCTTGCTTTCCGGTGTATGGGCGAAGGAGGGCAATGTCTTCTCTGGGCCAGGACAGAAAGCTGCAGCATCCACCTTACAGGCTGCTGTGGGGCTGTTGGCAAAATGGCGAAGCCAGAGGCTCTGTGGAAACCTTTTTGCCCTATGAAATAGTTCCTACAAGACTTCACATTGTTGTGAAAGAGCCTCTTCAGCCTGGGATTTGTCCAGCACATTCTCCTCCCAGCCCTGAATACTTCAGTGTTGAACATTTTGGTAAAGCTCCACTTGGCCCTGGCCAAGCTCTCCACGTGAAAACATGGTTACAAAATGTTTCCGAGACAGCTCTCTGTCCAGCCTGCATCTCCAAGGCTTGCTATGAACTTCGTCCCAAGTGTTGCAAGAAGGTAAAAACACTGGACAAACTAAAAACTTTGGACACAACATCTGCAGTGCAGTGGTTTCACATCCTTCAAGGTTGCAGCCAAGGTGATGGCAGGTGGCAGGTCTGTATTACGGAGCTGGTCCCTCCCCATCCTCTCTGGGACACTTGCAGACACTGGGAGTTCACATACCTCCTGCTCTCACATCCTACCTTCAGGCTGCAGTGCCCCAGCCTGACCCTTTTGGGGCAATTTTCTGCAAGCAAGGCTGCGAGGATCCTAGCTTGAGCAGCAGCCCCAGTGGAGTGGCTGATGGGATCTGAGTGTGTGTGATGTGGCTGGCACAAAGTAGGCAGAAAAAGGGAAGATACAAAAAAGCTGAACTCCAGGAAGAGTGAGACACCTTTGCTGGAAATGTCAGCAGAGGTGGGTTGGTGATTGCACTAACCTAGGAAGCTGCAAGAGCATGGGGAGGATGAACTCTCCAGCAATACTGTGGTTAAATCAGAGAGCTAGAAATGGTGATTGTATGAAGAACAGTTTGTGAAGTGGAGGCATGCAGGGAGACACATCTCACAGATAAAAATATACAAGCCTTTTTTAAGTGCGTAGCTTTTCTTGGAACGCTGGAATAAAACCAGACTCAAAGCCAAGGATAAGGTTGGAAGTGAGGATAGCAATGAAAAGCTCAGAGCCACCATATAAGAGCAGAGGCAAAGGGAGAAGAGGGACATGGCTCTGCCCAATTGCATACAGCCCAATACAGAAGTTAGTGGGAAAATCTGGGGGTTCTCAGCTTCAGGGTCTGTTGTGATATGTGGGGCTGGGTTTGGGCTTAGTTTGCAGAAAAAGACTTGCTTGGATGGCGTTATTTCTATCTTGGCATCTATTAGTTCAGACTAATTCTGCTGCTGCCTGCAAAGGGCTGTGCAAAGGGATGCTGCTGTACTTGCCACCTGTCGTTAGCCCCATTCTGCAGTGCTCCCATGGCCTTGTGAATACAGACACCTGCGGGGTCATTTTATTGTACTCTGGAGAATACTGCAGAGCTGCATCAGGCTCCTCACTGACAGTATGCAGTTCAGATCTCCTCCATGTCTCACACTGGTCCCACTGAGAGCTCCCAAGGAGCACTGCACAGTGGCCAGCTCCTTCTACTCTCAGACTGCTCACCCCATGTCCTTGTGTGCAACCCCCTGGCAGGAGCTGGTGTCATTCTTTAGCTGCAGCAAAGCACGCACAAGGGCCATACCTGCAGGAAGAGCACCCAGTCCTCGTGCAGCAGGACCCTGCAGCAGCTCAGCACTGCACAGCCACGAAGCAGGCAGGCAGCCAGCTCCAAGCTCGTACATGCCCGACACAACTTTCACAGCCCTGCTCCTCGCTGCTGGCCAGCTCTGGTTGCCATGGAGAAGTGTAGCTAAACGCTCGAACCTGTGCCAAACTGCCCTGGGACGTGAGGCCATGCAGCGTGGTGCCGTACCCAGGGGACATGAAGGCTTTTTCTGGCCTAGCAAGGAAAAGCAGCCAGGGCCCAGCGGTGCCGGACCCCCGCGCCGCACAAACACCCCATGCTAGCACGGGCTGCGGGTTGTTTTTCTCCACCTCGGTGCTCTGGTAGCACAACGTAGAACGCACGCCGCACGAACCCGCCGCTCCGCCGCCGCCCGTGAGGGGGCACAGCTCCGACCGCGGCCGCCCCGCACACCCACGCCGCGCGGAGGCAGGAGGGCGGGCCGCAGGGCCGGGCGGGGCCCTGCGAGACCGGGCGGGCGCTGGGGGACGGGCCGGCTCGGGGACGGGCGGGGCGCTCGGCCGCGGGACCGAGAGGAGGTGGGGGCGGAGGAGGGAGCGGGACCCGCAGGGCCGGAGCGGGCCGGGAGCAGGTAGGGACCCGCCGTGGAGAGCCGGGCCCAGCCCGGCCGCCCCCGCCCCGCGCGCCCCTCAGCCCTCGCCTCCGCCGGGCCCCCGCGCGGCCTCTCGGCACCGCGCTGCGCCTCCGCGCCCGCTCCTCCGGCCCTCGGCCTCTGCCGTGCTGCCCCGCCGGCCGCGGTGTCGCTGCCGGGGCGGGACTGTCCTGCCGGCCGGGTCACGGAGGGGCTTTGGGTACAGCCGGGCTGCGTGGGCACGGCGGGGCCGCACGGGTCGTTCCCGCCGTGCCTTCTGGCGGAGCGGCCTCGCAGCTCGGAAGGCTGCAGCCGTGCCCGTGCACGGTGGGCCCTGCGGGAACTGCGCGGGGCTGTCTCTTTTCAACACCCGGAGCGGTGACGGCACGGTGAGGGGCGGCCTGGTGTTCCCACGCGGAGAGGGGGAGCCCCAGAGCTGTGCCTTTCCCAGCTGTCCCTCCGTGAGCATCTTCTGGGAGAAGTTACTACTTCTCGCTCCAGTTAGCGCCTGTCCCTCAGCACTGCTCGTACTGGAGGTGAACCTCTGCTGCCTTCACTGGGGGATGGACGTTTGCTGCGTTCTCAGTAGCTTCCGAAAGTGCAGCTTTGGTGCTGACCCTCTGGCAGTGCCTCAGCTGGTCCTCAGTGCTGTCCGGCCTTTGAGCCCTGCTTCCTTTCTGCTGTTGGAAGTACTGCCCCCAGCGTGCTCCTTACACATCTCGTTCTCCTTGCAGAGTGCCCAGGAAGCCTTAAGTTGTGTAATACACTGCAAGTAACATCTGTTTTCGGGCTTTTCATGTTTCCATGATTTTCAGTTTTGCCCAAAGTAGCTTGTTTGCCCCTAGCCTCTGCCATTTTCTCCTCTCCTTCCATTGCAATTCTGTTGTTACCTTCACAAAAGGCCTGGAAGAGTTTAGGTGCAGAATTTGTAGGTTTTTTTTCGGAAGCTGTACTGTTCTGTGCTGAGAGACGTCACCATCATCCCCCTCATCTTGACTCACTCCTCTGGCTGTGAGTCGTGCTTAGCCTTGTGTTCAAATGTGTCCTGCATGTTTTCAGAGTCCTCTGTAGCGCATTTAAAGCTCACATCTCTGAGCTGCCTTATTTTGCTGTTTGTTTCATGACATCCACTGCTCTAACTAGGACAACAGTTTCAGTTCTCTCTCCAGACTCTCTCAGTGCCCCTTTTCCCTAATGCCTGGCGCCCACTCTGTTACTGTTCCACTTAGGGTTAGTGACATCAAAAACATGCAGAAAAACTTTTGAGGTATGGCGTGGCAGGAGGAACTGAGCAGTGCAGGACAGGAAGGTGTGATCCCCACAGAGCACCAGGTGCAGTAGCTGCCCACAGAATCTCGGTTCAACATGCAGCAGTAGTATGAGTGCAGGGAATGGCTGTTCTGACGGACTTTGTAGAGGTGGTGATCTGTGTCTGGGTGGGGCACCTGGAATTTTGCACAGCACTTCACTCTATTAACTGATGATTTCCTAAAAGTATTTTCCTAATCACCCTGTAGTGATTGCTCAACCCTAGCTATGCATGACACATCTTTTACTTTTCCTTCTCAGGAG